CGAAATCAAATAGACGGCCGCACGCTTCCTTCTCCTGTCGACGTAGACTCTCCCAAAAGTCGTTTTTTCTTGATTTTCTAAAAGATTTTCTAAAAAAGAAACATTTCAGAAATAATTTAATTAATTTCTGTATAAGTCCTGAAATTCTCATTAAAATTCGACAATTATTTTTGCACGAATTTCCAAATCAATGTGTTTTTCACCTCAAAAAGACGTTCAAATATCCTGTACAAATTTAAGAGCTGTCGAAAAAATCAAAAAAAAAAAAAGAAAAGATTTTTAACCAAAATTTCCAATGTTCAAAAAAGGATTTTAAAAATTTAAATAAAAAAAATATTTTGATCTTTCGTTTTAATAATGACACAAATATAAAATTTTGTTTTTTTTATGTTTGGTGCATTTTTTTCATCATCGATTGTTTTTAGCAGATATTTGTAGGTACCTAGTTAAAATAAAGTTTTTGTCAAATCTTAACAAACATCAAGCCATGTATTTCTTTTTCGCCTTTACTTTTTAATTGTTTTTTCTTCATTGTTACCAGAATATCGGGAAAGTAAGTAAAACATTTTTTTTGAGAAAATTGTTCTAAAGCGTTTTCTTTATAGATATATATAATTCAACACACACACACACACACACATATATATATATATATATATATATATATATATATATATATATATATATATATATATATAAATTTCAGAATTATATAAGATATTTAATAAAAATAAAGTTAAATTAAGCTACGACTGTACTCGTAAGTTAGAAACAATAATAAAAATACAAAACACCAGATATTTTAAAACTAACGTGCAGCAAAATATAGTTAACACTAGTAAATTATGCAGCTGTAAAAATAAAAATAGATGTCCATTAAATGGAGTTTGCAAAACCGAAGCAGTAATTTTAAAAGCAGAAGTAATAGATATAGATTACCAGGACAAACTTACATACGATGTACTGAATGAAGTTTCAAAGGAAGATGGTACAATCACAAATCGTCTTTCAAGCCGGAAAGTCTTAGGAATTCCCACAAACTAGCTAACCATGTGTGGAAATTAAAAGAAAAAAACAACAAAGATTCAACTATAAACTGGAAGATTAAAAAAAAAAGAAGCGAAACCTTACAACAACCATAATAATATCTGCAACCTCTGCCAAAACAAGAAAAGTTAGCAATAACCTTTTTAATCAATTGTCCGAGATTATGAACCGTTGCATTCATATAAAAATTTCCTCTTAATTTCATATGAGGCTGGATAAAAAATATATACATTTCAATTAACCACCCACCGATATTTTTACAGTACCCTTTATTTCCTCCAGGATAATGGATAGCGGCTCGGATTGAGGAATCGGAGAGCCGAGTTCGAATTCCAGTCGAATCCATTACATTCACTTACGTGCTAATGAAACTTCTTCTTCTCCCTCCAGCTAGGTAAATAGTAGGACTGGATGGAAACTGGTCTACTGCAGAAAGATATGGCGACCTACTGCGGGAAAAATCTGCCTCGTGCTACGAAAAGATACATGATCGCCTAAGCGTGTATCACACATGGAACATAACTGACTGACTTTCTTTCCTCCGCCTCCTCCTCCCCCTCCTTCTTCTTTGCATCCTCATCCCCTCCCTTCCTATCATACCCAACGTCGTGGGTTTGTTTAATTATTTTTTAAAATAATAAAGCGTTCATTAATAATTTAAAAAAAATAAAGCCTTGGAAAATCAATTAATGCAAACCGCCTAACGAAAGGTTGAAACCAAGGTAACGGAATCGACTGATCCCCTATTATTTTTTAAACTTAAAAACTCTACATGTTAAATTTTTTATTTTTATTTTTCACACGTGTATTGAGCACTTATTAATACTACTGTTTCCTGGCCTAACCCAACTGTGATCATTAACTTTTTCAGTATTATATATATATATATATATATATATATATATCCGTGTGTGTGTGTATTGAATTAAGGCTGTGCAACGGAGAAATAAATAACAGATAACACTGTCCATAGGCGTATCAATTACCAATACACTCGATAATAGGACAGTTCATCTAAAAATACTTGACCGATTCAGTGAATAAATATCTTATAAAATGCATGTACAGTCCTGCTTCTTGTCAAATTTCAACATTCGACATTTTAGAAAAATTGTGCGTGTCGAAAGTAACAGATAGTTTACTTCTTTCTTGCAAATATGATGGGTTTGGCTTCGAGCTAATGACAATGCAAGGGATCTTGGAGATTTCTAAAATCATTGTTACCATTTCTAATGTAAAGTCTGAGCGGAAAGCATCCAATTGCATTCAGTAATCAGTGAGATTTGCATACTGTTTTTAACTGTTACAATCACAAAATATTTTGCAAGACAACACAATACTCTACCTTTTATCCATTCATCAGAAACGCCTTATTATTTAAATTTTCACTCATAAAGCTTAGCTTTGACACCTTGGAGAGGGTAAAGTAAACATGACGAAGCAGCTGATAGTATTTTCGAAAGAAAATTTGAATTCTTTTTCTTATATATGTCGTGTACTTTAAAAACGTTGGTGATCATGGCTCTCTACAATTTCCTGTCCTTTTGAGCTCTTAGTAATTTTTTCTTTTTGTTATCTCTTCTAAACCATATTCCGCTATCCATTCACTCAAGTGCGAAAAAAAATCTTTTAGAATAGAACTTACAGTCACATTTAACTAATTTAACAATAAAAGACCTAGTTGCCAATCTAGTATTATGCTTAAATTCATGCAATCGAGGTACCAAATAAGAGAGTTCATTAGAACAACTGCCATGAAAATATTTCTAGAAAAGACAAAGGGAATGTCACGGCGGTGGGAAAGTGACTGAAGTCAAGATGCCAGGTCAGAACCAAACACATTACAAACGCTATCTGTCTATATTTCTGAGATGAGTTATTATGTACACTATTTACATTATTCGGACTATTGTCCTCATCTTTGTCGCCATACTTTTTACAACGTTTCGGCTGTTGTACGCTCCGGCCTTCTTCAGGTGATTGGAATGTCGAACTGAACCCTTTATTTCGCTCACTGGAGTAGACTGTTCTAGATTACAGACGCTTCTTTGGATTTTGTCGAGAATCTCGAGATGTATAGCAGGAGCACAAGACCAGAAATGGCAGTAGTATTCAATGGACGGATGAATGGTAGATTTATAAATGTGCAAGATGGATTCTGACGAGAAAAATTGACTGGCACGACACAGTGAGCCAACTTTCCTAACATTTTAATTAATGAGTCCAATATGCACACGTTAGTGTGCCTATAAGTTTGAGCATACAGACACACACAACCCACACATACACACACAGTCTTATGCAAATCTTACAATTAAAAGCATGAATTTTTCAAAAAGGTGTTTGTAATTTGAAAACATTAGAATGTGATTTTTTTTACGAAATAAATCATTTAACTCCTATTATACTGCAACTGCACTTATAACATTCACTAAAATGTAAGTTTTGTTAAATATTTCTTTTGATTTTGCTTAGTGACAATATCTTAAAGTCCATTTTACATTGATAACAAACGCGAAAGCGGTTTATTGGTATCGTTTTATTTCGTACTTAATCACAGCTGTACATATGTTTGACAAATGTCATATTGTTGCTCATCGCAAATTATTTCAATGCACGCTTAACAGAGTTCCAAGATGACCTTCTGATATTTGCATTTAGATCTTTTTTTCTCTTCTGTCCGTATAAACCATCATTCTTTCTTTTTTTAAATAACGAACCAATCACATACTCCAAAAGCAATTGGTTTTTACAAATGTTTGTTTCATTTTAATGTTTTATTCAAGAAATTCGTTTTTAACAATAAGAGTTCATTAAAAATTAACGCGTTTTCGTCTAAGAATGACGCCAACTACTAAAAAAGAACACCCCTGCAGAGAAATAATGGAATTCACGGGTAAAGGAAAATTCAATTTTTTCTTCATTAGAAGATTTGCAAGACTAAAAGAAAGTAACTTTTTGAAGACAGATAAATACGTAGCAATTTTTTTAAAACAACACTTTCAACTGCATATACGTAACAATATTATATCGTATTATTAATACGTATTATGATTATCATTTTAGTTATTTTAATACAGATTCGCATAGCTCACTGTATATAAATACAAATTTAGTATGACAACCTTAATATTTAAGGTTCATATTTTTTAGTGGGCGCATTGTGTTAAATATTCTATAAAACGCACCAGTATGTGTAATTGTGTGAAATAGAGACATGAATGATACTTATTTAGAAAAAAATATTTTAAAAGTATACAGATTTTAAAGATATTTTAACCTGTATTTTTCCGCATTGAATGCAACAGCAAACATATGCATAGATTTAGACATTTCGTTCGATCTAAATTAAAACGGGCGTAAATTTGTCTCTGTGTCAGTTATTTACATTATTTTAAATCACAATTTTCGGTAGATATCCTCTCTTAACGCTTTATTAACGAAACCATACCACCAATCGACACAGTTTCAAGTTTTAATTAAGTTTAAATGTCATCAACGTTACCACGGCATTGTTCATGTGAATAGAAATTGAGATTCCCAAACAGATTTAAGTTCAATTTAATCACATAGCCAAAGTTTGCTATAATTCTTTAGCATCGTTTGTTGAAGCAATTTTCCATATATTTTTTCAAAGTGGCTGCTTTTGATATTATTTGTTTGTTCGTTCCTTTATTTATCTGTTACTTTTGTTGCCAGTTGACAGTCTCCAGCAACTTCTTTTACTTTGTTTTTTATTGAATAACTTTTTACAAAAAAAATGAACATTACGCATGCACAGTCTACGAACTGTTTTTCTAAACAACATCTTTTAATATTCTCAAGACGTTGAAATCACACATTTGATCAGCTTATTTAGCTATCATTTCTTTCTATTTTTATGCAGTATAACAATAACTTGTTCCATTGAAATAACCTAACTCTTGTTTCCTCTAATAAGCCTATTGACATTATTATCCTTTCGTGCGGAGAATTTCACTGCCAATTTCATTGGTCTCAATATTCATAGACTTTTTTGGCTTCAGTTTACTTTTCGCCTTTGATCTAAACTTTGATTTGGACTTTGATCTAGCCTTCGATTTTGACTTGGATTTCCAACGTCGCTTGTTGTGACGTCGTTTCTTTTTACCGCGTCTTTTCTTGTTGCCTTTGCGTTTGCGGCCTTTCTTGCTTTTCTTCCGGTACTTACGGCGCCGTTTCCGCCGCCTGATCCCGGACTTCATCCTTCTTGCTGGATCAGATCGATTTGTAGCCAAATCTGAATAATCAAACGAAATTTAAATATGAGTTTTTTTTTATGACGAAAAATAATACTCTTATGTATATTAACTAATCAACGTTTATTAATTTATTTTCGTTAATATTGAACATTATATTCAATATTAACGAACGTTTTATAAGAAAAATTAACGAAATTCAAATAATCATATTAGGCGATATATTTGTAAATCACGGGATTTATTTGAGAAGGTGAGGAAATAATAAATATTCAAGTGTTTAATTGCCTTTACGTTTCATCCAATAATAATAATAATAATAATAATAATAATAATAATAATAATAATAATAATAGTAATAATAATAATATTACTGACAAGTACAGCCCACACTTTACGAAGGGCTTTATGTATGTAAATTATTTTTTTTTTTTTTTTGTCAGTGGAAAGTGTCATGACGCCATTTTTAACCTTAGGTCCCTGGCGGGACCCGGAAAGAAATATGTAAACGCCAGAAATCAAAGAAAATAAAAATAATAATAATAATAATCATCATCATCTATGTAATATTCCAATGTATTATATATAATTAAAAATTTTAACTGGTTCTTGTTTCAATGGAACTTTAATTATTTATGTTATTATAATGAGAAAGTATATTTTGTACTTCCTTGGCAAAAAAACAAGCGATTAAAATACACACAAACAAGATGTTTGACATTGTTTCCAGTGAAAATTACTGGGTTTACAATAAACAACATCAATTAAAGCTAACAACTTTATCGTTATATATTATTGCTTCCAAAAGAGAATTAATTAATTTTATTTTATTGTAATCTAGCCGAATGTTTTCTGCTTCAATAGTGAACCCCCCCCATCGCCTCTGCGCGCGAGCATACACACGCACAGACACACACACACACACACACACACACACACACACACACACACACACACACACACACACAGAGAAAAAGGTATTAAGAAAGCAGCAAAGCGGTAAGCTTCAAAAGAGGGTATAAATTACCTGCACAAGAACGCATCAACATCTTGCATCTTCGATTTTCTGACAATGCCGGGCAGCGTTCTCCATTATGTGAAGGTAGCTGCAACACATGTCTTTCGCGCGCTTCGATGCCATATTTGTAGCCACAAGTCTGTCCATTGCGTGAGCAAAAGTTCCAGCTGCTCCAGGACCCAACCATACAATTAACTGATAGCAGGAAAAAAACATAATCGTGATTATTATTCACGCATTTCACACAATATCGTATGAGAAATGTATCGTATGAAGAGACATTTATTTTCACATTTAAAATTTAACACAAACTTAAATGTAAGAAAATAGTATGTATAATTATTTGTCAGTTTGATCATCACATATTTATATGGTCCACACTAATAGCTATGAAGTATATTTTATATATTCTCTTGTAGATTTGATCTCGAGTATCAACAAGTTGAATCTATTTAATTCCAAAATAATTTAACCAAATAAAGCAGAAAATCTTGAAAATAAAATCCTCTTTTGAATACATGCATGTACATGAGAAAGAGAGAAAAAGATAGAGAAGGGGTGAAATAGAAAGAAAGTGTAAGAAAGTGTGATGGAGAGAGTGAGAAGGAGCGAGTGAGAAACTATAGTATACAATTAAGGAAATAAATTATTTTGTATTAAATATAAAAAGTAAATGTTTAAATATATTAGTTGAAAAACTGAGAGATATATCATAAGTTTTCTCAAATAAAATGCCAGTTTTCTCAATTTAAAGATTCATATAGTTTGATTTCGTCATGATTAAGTATTTCTTACCTTGTGAACGACATTCTTTGGAATAATTGGCATAGAATAGGCCCTCTGGACAGCCGTCTATGCATTCTCCTTTATAGGCCACATAGGGCGAATTACATCGTGTACAATAAGTTTTGCTGAAGCAAGATATACACTTGTCTATATTACATTCTGAAAGAAAGAAAGAAATTATAATCCATTAAAATCCAATAATTAGGCATATGCATATGCATAAATATAATATATATAAATGTGTGAATACACACACACACACACACATATATGAATATATATATAAATATGTGAATATATATATATATAAATATGTGAATATATATATATATATATATATATATATATGAATATATATATAAATATGTGAATATATATATATATATGAATATATATATAAATATGTGAATATATATATATATATATAAATATGTGAATATATATATAGATATATAAATATGTGAATATATATATATATATAGATATATATGAATAACTGAATATATATATATATATATATATATATATATATATATATGAATGTGAATATATATATATATATATATATATATAAATAGGTATATATATATATATATATATATATATATATATATATATATATATATATATATATATACCGGGTGTAACACCAAAATTATTCAATTGTTAGATTAAGCTCTGAACCGTTGTATCTTAGAAATGATTAAAGATATCTTACTGGAATTCTGCGAAATTTTTATAACATTATTGGGCTCTACTTTGAGCAATAAAAATGTATAATTACTCTCCAAGCTTAGCAGTAGTATCGTGATGAAATCGATCATAAATTAAAATGACATATTTATCATTAATTAATCATAGCTAAAGATCAGAAGCTCATGAGGTATTGAAATAAATTTTAAATACATATATATTATTCCAGTATCATTTTTCAACATTAAGATGATAATTGACCTCTCTAATCTTCTTACTTTCTGCCCTGAAGTAACAAGGTGCCTCACACGTTTCGCGTGCGATTTCATTTTTAAGTTTTTTTTCACTGCACTTTGGGCTCTCATAGCTGAAACTCTTCACTAACGTGACAAACGTCTTATAAATTGAATTGAATCTTTACTGATTTTTTTAGCTCTAAGTTAAAATGATGATCCTTCTTGCTGTTGTGACCTCCTGATCCAGTTTTCCTCTCTACTATTCCATCTTTTTTTAAAACTTATTCACCGTTCTCTTAATGGTTCATGAATGAATTTTGAAGATGGAAGCTAGAGTATGAATATTGGTACCATTATTGAAGGCTTGAATGATCTTTTTCTTCAGTTGGAAAGACAGCGGGTCTGACATAAAACAATTTTAACTTGCTCTATTTTTAACTGAATAACTCAAAGGGTTTTTCACTGATTCTTACGAAAAACGGTGTCAAGATGTGTGTGCGTGTGTACATTTACCTTGTCTTGAATTTTATCCAAAAACAAAAGAATTACAGAAAATGTAGTGCTCATAACTAACAAAAAAAAAAAAAAAATAAAACAAATAATTTTGTTAATATTTCGATATTAATCCTTTTCGTCATTAGAATATTATCGTTTATTCTTATGATGATGTCAATAAAAAGAAAAATTAAGAAAATTAAATTGTTTAATAATAGCATTTTGATTAACTATAAGATTATTTCATCGGATTACTTCTTCTTATTAGATATATTAATATTTGGTCTATATGATAAAAATAAGTAGAAATTTTTATATTTTGGGATGGAAACTATGAATATTCTGGATATTGTTAAACTGATAAATACATAGTTACATCTATAGGCCCTCTACCCTAATGTTGAAAACTCGTTTAATTTAAACAATAAATATTTATTTTTCATCATAGTCTCTTTCTTGGCAAATACATTTAATTCAGTGGTAAATGTTAATCAAATATCGAACATTATACAGAGAAAGTTCTCGACCAGCATATGGCAAAATAATATTAGAATTTATTTTTGAATTAATTTCTTGGTTGGAACAAAAATTCTTCAGCAACTCCTTGTATATGTCAGGCTATGGATTTATTGATCCACACTCGTACATTCTTTCATGAAGACTTGGCATTGTAATAAAGAAATAAAAAAAAATTAGAAATAATTTATTTAAAAAAAAATGATATTGTTTAAGATAAAAAAAATTCGCTCTACATTCAATAAACAGTCGGACCAAGTACAAAATGCTAAAAAAATTATTACTTTGAGTGTATTTAAAGTTGAATGAAGAAGATAGAGGTGAGTAACAACTGACCATTATTTATGGAAATATTATTATATCAAAAGTCTCGTTACTTTCTTGTCATTAGGATAGATATTCGGTTAATATTTTATTGACATTTTATCTTTTTGACAATCAACGTAACGAAATTCCATTGACGATGGTATACAGTCAAACTGTTGAAACTTACACCACTTTCATCTGTCATCGAGATAAATCTAGAAATTTTATCCAGCGTCTTATACATCGACAGTTACATTGTTCATAGGTCTAAATCGAAATTGAGAGTTTGGTCTGTAATTTTCCTCTCTAAATTTAGCAGATGTGCCATGGAAACTAATTTATTCACTTGGAAGATATGTCGAAAATTATTTAACCAATAACTGAAGAGTATATCTTACTGAGACAGACACTGAAGTCCTTTCGCCGGACACCGTAATAACCGCTCGGGCAAGTGAGCGTGCAGACTCCAGTCTGACGCATGCCCGACCGTACCAACAGCAAAAAGTACCGTTGTTTGCATGCCAAGCATCCATTGAGGGTAGAACAGCTGCTACATCCAGGTGGACATATAAGCGCATCTTTTTTGTGTAGAGCAGACGATGTTTCTGTATCTGATGATGAGATAAAACGAAGAATATAAAAAAACAATTATTTGCAGATTCATTAATATAATTTTGTACAAAGACATTGAATACAAAAATATTTGATATATAATATTAGACAATTTAAAACACCTTTTGTTTGCTGAAAATGAAAATATTTTTACTTTTATGAAGAAAATTTGTAATATATAATGACAAAATAAACAGGCAACATTCAGACATGTGCTGCAAATACAAAATGTTATCCAATAGTCAATGTTTTTAAAAGATTCTATAAGAGGAAAATTTAATCTGTTTAACTTCCTTCAATTAAGAACGATGTCAAAATACATTTGAAAATGGATGCTGTGCAAAAATCAAATTGTAACGAAAAAAACCTACATCAGATCGTTATCCTTCATTATGTTGTATTTAGAAATACATAAAAATATAAAAATACATTTGCATAGTTCTATTTCTAATTACGGAACTACGGGAAAATTCATGATTGAATAAGCATAATCATAATATTTGGAAAGTTTATTTTTGCGAAAGAGAGAGATACAGAAAATGAAGGTGACATCGTAGAACATAGTGTATGACTGAAAGAGAATCGTTTGACTATAAAACATATCAAAATGATAAATAATTTATGACGATATATACTTTGTTTTGGATAATTTTGTATTACTTCTTTTGTCCCCCGCCTTGCAGTGCGCGCGCCAACACACACACACACACACACACACACACACACACACACACACACACACACACACAAACATTACATCGAATAAATCATTAAGTAATTATAATACTTATATTCAAAATTTATTTTAGTACATTTGTATCGTGCTGCGTAGTTATAATGATGAACAAAGAATGGTGGCGAAGACTGTCGTTGAGGATGATACAACTTAACCTCTTAATGTGTGTAAACAACGTCACATGAATTTCCCAGAGTGATTGCTGCTGAGAGATTACTGTGTTTATTTACTGATAATTGGAGAACTAATAAACTTTAACGTTGAGATAAAAATAGGGAATGTCAACCCGACTGAACTATAAAGGTTTGCCATCAAACCAAGTATGAAAAACTCCCCAATGCATCAATCTTGTAAAATTAACATTAGCCACATATTACTGATACAGCTTGTCGGGCACTTACATAGATCTTGCTTTACTTTAAATTTGACGCTGACACTTTTTGCTATAGAATTGGAATTTTGGCCTATATGTAATGAAAAACGATAATTATTAGCACAATTCACTTATCTCTGTTTCTTTATTCGCCTCCTTGCCAATCCATAATTTGGTTTTTCTCTATGTGCATGTCATATGTTCCTTCAGGACATCAGCAATCAGGACCCTCCACAGTTTGCAATCTTTTGTTACTCTCAGCAGTGCATTCTCCTTTATGGCTATTTATATCTATAGTACTTATTTCTGTTATAAAATAAAATAAGACATATCTCGGCTGATTTACAGGGAATTAAACTAACATACTCAAGAGCGAGAGCCGGATGTGAACGGGATAAGGCCCCGTCACAAAATGACCATTATCTTCGTTTACGCATGTTCCCGACGCACGAGTTCTGGTCGAAAAATAAAATAATATTTTAAAGTGTTTCTATTTTTCGACCAATAAAAATGCTTCCTCCTAATTATACTCGCGTCGTTTTTTCGAGCCTGTTAAGCCATAAAAAACGCCATAAAAGGGGGTCACACGGAAGTACAACGGCAGTCAACAGGAGGCCAGGGAAGAGACCTGTTACGGTCAGGCTGAGCGGTCAACAGCAGTCAGCAGGGGGAGCGCCACCGTTAACCAGTGTGAACTACTGTGAGATCAACCCAGATTCGAAGCCGGCTTATGAACTTTACCACAAGGTAGCTGTCCCAAACCCACACGTTCCTGTTGAAATAAATCATGTAAATCTATTTCTACTGTTGTCGTATTTCTTTCTTCCAACCATACGCTTGTCTATAACTCTGGTGTCAGAAGCGTACAGCAAGAGAAATATGGCCGACTACACGAGCTTCACCCGAGCCGAACTATTTACTCTCATCAAGGAACAGAAAACACTACTATTCAACTTGAAAACGGGACCAACACAGCCTTTCGAAGCCACGATACAAGAAATTCAAGCCGACATAAACGACATGCTGACTGCCCTAAAATCAACTACTTCAACACCTCCCACCGCTCAAACAAATGGCTATTACAGCTTAATGATGCGCCAACAAATAATACGCGACATATTGAAGCTAGAGAGAAGTTTTCACCCTGGACACGACGTGAACCGATTCATCACGGCTCTAAACAAAGCATACACAATCCACGTCACGCCAGAACTCAGCACCTATCCCAGCCTGGAATGCGAATTCGTCAAGTCTGCTAAAGATTTACTGGACCAAAGTATCTTTCAGCAGATGGTTGACTCAAAAAAGACATATCCACCTTCGAACAACTGAAGGAATACTTATTAGCAGCCCACGGAAGCCAGATGACTAACTTCCAACACCTCAGTCAAGCCTTGGATTTGGAACGGCGAGACGGCGAAAAATTAACAGACTTCGCGGGTCGACTCGAAAACACCCTTAGAGAGGCAGCCGTCCACATAAAAAACAAATACAAAAAAGACAAAAATACAGACTTAACAGTCGATGGACATCTCCATCATCGGCGCTATGCTAATGAGCGAAAAGGTGAAAATTTGGAACTCAAATTTTTACCCACATCTTGTCAAGACAATGGACAACCACTATTCAGCCATTGGCATAGCCTCCGAAGCTCAAAGATACCTTGATCGCGGTGTAAAATCCAACGACACTGTGTACTTCACACAGAAACCACAGCGATCAAATCAAAGAAACGCGCCACTCCGACCCAGCAGGCAACCAATCCCACAGCAGATGGGCCTCGTCAACCCTCCCGAACATGGCCACCATCCGACACGCAGAAACCACCAGCACACACCACGAATCAGCGTGTGCAAGAACTACCTCAGAGGTCGTCCCTGCCTCCGTGGACGCAACTGCCTATATCGCCACCCACCTCGCCGCAACGAATGATGATATACAAGCCATAAATGATGTGGAACAGGATTTTCGCTTCGGCCAGGACGAGATGTGATGCCTCGTTCGCCGTGCCCCTACGTCAGCCATCACACCTTCAACTTTCAAGGACTCGCTCACCATTCACCGCTCGTCCAGTCCACCTTCAACTTCAGGGACATCACCTTCTCTGGCGTCGCAATGCTAGACTCTGGATGCTCCACCTGCATTTTACCAATATCTCAGTTACCCAGAGAAGCCAAAAAACACATGACCCGCTCTGAGGTCGTAGTAAAAGGAATCAACGGCAGCACAACCGCCCTTGGCGAACTGACTTGTGACATCACCATCGGCAGTCGAGACTTACCCACATTCAAAAGGGTTAACCTGCTGTTAACTACCCAAACCACACCGATCCTGATCGGCCAAAATATCCTATGTCACAACACGCTCAATTCCTATCTAATCGACAACCAAAATGCGAGTATAGAATTCAGACGCACACTTTCCTCAAGGTATACAACACACACAGCCGCAATCATATCACCGTCATCGTCAATCAACGATCCAGCATATGGCGCCCAAGCTGACGTCATCCAAAACCAGCCTACTATATGGAACTACAGCCCGACATCCAGACACTGGATCAAAAGCTAACCTGGCTAAAGCATAACACGGGGCTATCGCTACCAAACCACCCGAACCGAGACGAACTAGAGGCCACTGCAAACTTATTCATTCGCTACGCTGACGTTATCGGCACCGAAAGCAGCAGCAAAGGCACATTCACCCGACCCATCCGCATACCAACTAACGGCCAGTCTCGCAGCCAGAAACAACACCCAATCGCCCAGGCTTTGGAAGCAGACGTTGATACCGAAATTAAGCGCATGGCCGATGAAGGTATCATTGAAAACTGCAGCGACCCCAAAGGCTTCAATAGCCCTGTATTTGCCGTACGCAAGAAAAACGGATCGATTCGCGTCGTCGCTAACTTTAAAAGAACTCTCAACAAGGTCTTAGTCGATCTTGACCCTTACCCAATGCCAAGGATCGACCACTTGTTCAACAAAATCGGCAAAGGCAATAGATATTTCACTACCCTCGATCTACGCAGCGGCTACTGGCAAATTGAGATCGACAAGCGAGACCGATACAAAACAGCATTTACATGGAAGGACCAATGCTATCAATACACGCGCCTGGCCTTCGGCCTTACATCTGCCGGACAAATCTTCTCCCGTTGCATAGCAGAAGCCCTAGCCACGGTCATCCCGTGACAACATTTCTTCCTATATCGACGACAACCTGGTCCATGCTGGGACATTTAGGGATTACATACTCTCCCTCGAACAATTTTTTACTGCCCTCCGAAAATTCGGACTCAAGCTGAATCCAGATAAATGTTCCTTCCTCGCATCAGAGGCAAAATTCCTAGGACGCATAGTAAACAGCGAAGGATTCAAGGCTGATCCAGAATACGTTCGTGCCATCAAGGAAATGAAACCTCCAACATCAAAAAAGGAATTACAAAGCCTTATCGGCCGTTTAGTGTGGATCAGACAATTCCTAGAGACACGTCTTCACGAACAAATCAGGTCAGATATGTTTTCAAAACTTATGGGTCCCATACACGAACTCAACAAGGTTAATAAACCGTTTATCTGGACGCAAAATGCCGACAGAGCCTTCAAAAAATCAAGGACCGTCTCTCTTCGACACCCGTCATCTCGTTTCCGGATTTCTCCAAACTTTTCACACTCACCACCGACGCCAGTGACGTCGCATGTGGAGCAATCTTAATGCAAGAAGCCGACAACAGGAAGAAAGATATAGCGGTCGCTT